GCTATCTTGTATCAACCAGGACACATCGTCTGATGATTCTAGCTACGATCTCAACGGTCGGGCTGTACAGGGACAACAGCCAGACAACACCAACGGCGGAGAAACGACCAGCCTAGTGAACGGGCAGGTCATCCCAGAAGTTCTGCCATCATTGTCGACCCTGTTGAACGCACAGACTGGCGGGGTCGCCACCAACCCCAGCACCTTCGAGCTGGGTCTAGAACGAGGATGGAAAGTTCCCACCCTGGATCGTGTGCAAGCCCCCGCGGCGAATGTAGAGGTGATTCCTCGCGCTCAGATGGACTTCCAGCTTCTTGACGATGCTTTTGTGCAGTGGCCATGGGACGAGCCGTTCTATGCTCTCCCGTGGTCAGAAGATGTGGGCAGGAATGTTACAGCAAGGCACACCGATCCAGACAATGGAGAATATCAGTCTTCGGGTTTGTTTTTGGGGCTGATCCCGTCGGAAATCGAGCAAGCCAAAGTCAACCTGCAGCTGTTCGACGTGGAAAATCGACTCTGCGACTTTGTGTTTCCCACAAATTATATGGTCATTAGGCTCGTCAGAGGATTCTTCAAACACTTCGCGCCGCACTGCCCTATTATCCATGCACCAACGTTCTCGATCGGCACGATTCAAGGTAGGTAATGTGCCTATGCCAATTTCGACTTCGTGGCCTTGACCCTCAGCACTAACCCTGCGTGCCTTTAGCACCTCTCTTGCTCGCTGTCATGGCATGCGGAGCGGTCTACCTGAATGAGCAAGAGATTAGTCTTAGGCTCTATTACGCCGTTCTGAAGCTGTTGAGCGAGGTATGTGATCAACGGACGTTTGAGCCACCAGGGATTTCCAGATACAATGAAGAGTATCACGGTCAAGGTCTGACATGGACTGCGTCACAGAACGAAGATTTGGTCATCGCTGGACAGAGAGACTCGGGTTTCCAGCTATGGGAGTTACAAACCAGGCTCCTTACCTGCCAGTACGGACTCTATGGAGGTGATGATCGGATCCAACGGCAGGCGAGATTGTCTTTTACAAGGCTTCACGTGGTATGTTTCTGCCAACTTGGCTGTTGAACTCTGAGATGGACCAGCTAATCCTCCCTAGCTTTGCCGAGAAGCTTCTGTCGAAGCGACAAAAGTCTCTGCAAATGACTGGACAGGGTGGGTATTCCGTGAGAGCATGATTAGGTGAGCAATCGTGCATGTCCCGTGGTTGGGCTTTCATCAGGTCCGTTTGCAATTCGCTCGCTAAACCACTGGCCCAGATGCGTGTCCTGGACTACTGTCCTCCGAGCAGTCCTGCTCTGTAACGAGGATAATGCGGTGCTGAGGAGCTCCAACACCGAGTTGGAGGGGTCGCTGCCCTGTTCCGAGGAACTGTGGACAGCGGGCGGACTCAGTTGGCAGAATTCGACCCGAGTCACAATTTCCTCGGTCGTATGCTTTCGACAGCTTCTCTCAGGCGCTCCACTCGACAACACAATCAGTCCATTTGGCCTGTTGACCCTGATCAGCGTCATCCTTTCGCACATCTCCACACTTCGCCTTGGCAATGCCACTGGGACGGTCGTGGCAGACGAGGACTCGCTCCGCCTGGCACTGCATACGTGGGAGGAGGCGTGGAGAACGCATCCACACTGTACCACGGTCCCCGACGCGCCACAGGGCCCATTGATGGCCAACGCACTGGTCGTCCTCAATGCGGCGTACTATCGTCTCTATGCGAACGCGCAGATGAACGAGATGAAGGCGCTCGCTCTCCTGCCTGTCGACCAGGTATCTCGGAGTCGGATCGCCAAGCTGTATCAGCTCGATAACCCTCCCGACCTCATGAAAGCAATCGTCCGCGCGTGCCGTTGCCTGCTAGTGCGCGTTCGCTTGGGATTGGGTTACCTGCTGAAGACATCGTGCTTGAACTATCCCTGTTATGCCCCGCTCGCAGCGTATGAAGGCAGTAAGTCTCAAAAGTCCCCTCGCGTACTACTGCGAGATGTTTAATTGACGTTGGGGACTCTTAGGTCTCCTCATGTGCTGGTATCTTCTGGGACGGCGCCTCATGGAGATTCCAGGACCGGAAGAGCTCGTCATCACGACCATGATGGACGAGATCGTGGCGGAGAGCGAATACAAGTACGAAAAACCGATTCCGAGGGAGCTGCTCCCCATCATGATCTACCGGGACATGATCCGCGAGCGCTGGGTCTGGCCTGGTAAGTTTTTACCCAAAAGGAGATGTATTCGATCTCCTGACAAGGATACTTGCTAACCAGTGTTGTAGCAACATGTAATGTCTTGTCGAATAATCTCGACGGGATGATCACGAGGCTCAAGCCGGTTCTCGAGGGGCTCCAAGCTTATTCTTCGGACAACTAACCCCGATCATGGTCTGTCTGGCGCAGATTGATGGCCGCAGATGGGGTTCATGGGGTTCTTGTATAAAAAGTATTCTATGTTTGGGTCGGTGGTCAAACAAATGAAAACACCCGGGTCTGTTCCTGACGTTACATCTCATCGTCACTACGCCCTTGTCAATACGTCAGCCATAATGATATACCAAACATATCAGTCTTTGGTATGCTATTTCCCAGCTAGTCCCGTGACTCCCAGAACCAGGAGGGTTATCACCCATCATCACTGGTTATCTCATTACCTTTCCCCTTGCATCTCCAATCACCACCCATCCAACAGATTAAATCGTCCAATAGGCACAAGTGGGGGAAAAGGGAGAACAAACACCGAGTGCGATGCGTGCGGGGGGGATCTGGAGTCGAGGGGTTTCGCCTCTTTCCCGAGGTGACAAGGGGAGGAGATGCGCCTTTCTTGTGCCGAAAATGCACCACCCTCCTACTACTTCTTTGGTAAAACGGTAACGAGGGATAATGTATAATAGATCGTAGGGATACATAAATTATGGAGCAAGTGACATCGGTAAACGCCATATGACATACAGACCTCGAACCGTTTTTCTCGTCATCGATTAGTTTATTAAATAGTCTTCCCTCCCTGTTCCCTGCTTGTCTAGCACACTACCAGGACACAAACATAGTCACTAGAATTGCCCTGTTAAGCTGCAAAGAACTGTTGTCTCATCACCCCCCAAAGATTGAAGAGATGGCTTCCCAAGACGCGAGCCAGTACTTGGTCCCGCCCAAGACCCCTCCGGCGCTCAACATCCCACCCTCGTCGTCGACTGTGTCTGTCAAGATCATCGACTCGACGTCGCTGATCGAGGTGCCGATCGGCCTCCTCTTCGGCCCTCACATCCCCGGCCACGACAAGCTCTCGTGCCCGTCGTACAGCTTTTTGATCGAGCACGGCCCGCTGAACCGCAAGCTCCTGTTCGACCTGGGCACGCGCAAGGACTGGAAGAACCTGGCGCCGCGCATCGCCAACACCATCATCGACCACAAGTGGGGGTTGGAGGTGGAGAAGAACGTGGCCGACATCCTCACCGACGAGGGCGTCGATCTCAAGTCCATCGAGGGCATCATTTGGAGCCACTGGCACTACGACCACACGGGCGACCCGAGCACGTTCCCGTCCTCGACAAAACTCATCGTCGGCCCCGGGTTCCGCGACGCTCTCGTCCCGGGCTACCCCGTCAACCCGGAGAGCCAGGTGCTCGAGACGGACTGGCAAGGGCGGGAGCTGGTGGAGGTCGACTTCTCGGCCGCGGGCGACCTGAAGGTGGGCAACTTCCGGGCGCTGGACTATTTCGGCGACGGGTCCTTCTACATTGTCGACGCGCCGGGCCACGCGGTCGGACACGTGTGCGGGCTCGCGCGCGTGACGCCCGACAGCTTCGTCTTCATGGGCGGCGACGCATGCCACCACGGCGGCGAGTACCGGCCGACAGAGTACCTCCCGCTACCGAAGAAGGTCGACCTCGACCTCTCGTCGTGGTGGAACCGCAGCACGGTCCGGGCGCGCGTGGGCCTGTGCCCGGGCAGCGGCGCCGCCTTCTGCGACGTGTTCGCGCACAAGAAGCCCGACCAGGAGGTGTACCGGCTGACCAAGAACTTTTCGCACGACACGGACCGCGCCAACCTGACCATCAAGTACCTCGAGGAGTTTGACGCGGCCGACAACGTCTTCGTCATCATCGCCCACGACACCTTCCTGCTGCACAAGGAGTCCGAGGTCGAGTTCTTCCCGCGGGGCTCCCTCAACGACTGGAAGGCCAAGCGGCTCAACGAGAAGGCCCGCTGGCTCTTCTTGAAGGACTTTGCGGATGCGGCCCAGCAGGGGCTGAAGCAGGCCACCGAGATGGAGGACGGGCTGGTTCTGAAGCCGTGAGTGGTGGGCACAGGCAGCAAGCAAAGACCAAAAATCACATGGTCATTTGATATTTACCACCCCTTTTTGGATCGTTCGCTCGTAGTCAGTCAGTCACGCTGTTTGTCGTGCCCAGCCAGAATGGTCTCCGCTGGCTGCTGCTGTCAACCGCGGGGAGGGGAGGGGCCGAGACATTTCTGAGAAGATGATGAATCAAGACATTTGCAAACCTCTCATTTTTTACCTATAACTTTTCTGGTGTGAGTGAGGTCAAAGTCGAGTCGAGGCTGTTAAACTAAACATGGACACTAGTGATGATCACCTCTGTTCTCAATCTACCGAGGAATGAGTAAGAGCAGATATCTCTCAGATCCAATATGCCTCGTCTACCAGCTTCATCGCGAATATACTTGTAGATATGACATCCTCCCCAGACCGTCGTAGCTCTCCTACCGTCCTTCTTTGCATGTAAGCTACTCTAGTTCAGCATAGTAACCCAAAAGGGTGGGACTTGTCAGACAGAGACACAGGAGTAAAGAGAAGGGACAGTTACCCAAGCCGAGAACTCGAGGGCCTTTTCAAAGATGGAGTTTACCATACTTGACTATTTACCGCAAAACAATATTATCTGACCGACAAGATCCAAGTCACATCTTCGCAGCCTCGAGAAAGAGACCAGGTGGACATCCCCCCAAACCCCATCACAAACGTAGATTCACTCAGTGATATACGTTCCTCCCCGCATTCACATCGTTCTCCAGATAAATTTCAATCTTCTCGTTCATCTTCGGCGTGATGTCCTCCAAAAACAGGCAAGTGATGGCTCCAAGCGCGCCGAAAGCGATGGACGCCAGAGCCACCGTCCGAACCCCAGCGACATACGTGTCTCTCCAGGCGAGAGCAGCGGCGGCCACAATGCTGTCGGTGGTGCCGGGAACAGCTGCAACGGCACCCAGCCCCGAGGGCAAGGCAGCCAGAACCTGTTGTGCAAGAGCTCGCGAAGCGCCAGCCCGCATCACTGCAGGAATGACCTTCTTCACCCCATTGCTGGAAACAGCGTTGGAAAGAATCGTCACATAAACAGTCGAGGCGACCGATGTACCAGCGTATCGACCTGTGCCCCTATTTTTTTCGGTTAGTAAAGGGACAAATTTATCCGCGTAGTAAAATTGAGGCTTACGCAAGTCCTCCAGCAATGCCTAGCTCGGTTTGTTCAGCCCCAAACTGGACATAGGTGATGGACAAGTATTGGGCCCAGCCGTAAAAGGTGGCGCAAAAAAAGCAAAAGACAATGGACATGGCGCGAGTGTTCTCGGTGGTCAGCGCCAACAGGCCACCGAACATGGTCATCATGGTGACACAAAAACATTGGCTCCACTTCCAGTGCTTCAGCTTTGTCCCGATGGTGCTGAGACATATTGCCCCGACCAATACCCCCATGCCTTGTGCCAGTGAGTATTTTGCTGCGAGCGAGGTGGGCGATGACGGGGTGGTGAAGATCGTCCCGATGATCGTCGACCATATCACGTTCGTGCCGAGATAATAAATGGTCACAGAGAATGTGACAACCATGGGCGCGGACAACGAGCGGCCGTAGTTGTGCTTGAAGAGACGAGGGGGTGTGAGTGGTTGCTTCAGGGGCACCCACGTTTCCCAGCAGGCGAAGGCAACGAGCGTGGCGAATCCCGATACCAGAGGACCGATGACTTTTCCATCGTTGGAGGGGAGGTATGACGCGTAAACGACGCCTACCAGGATGAGGGAGACAGCGGCCGTGAACAGGACGCCTCCGACATAGTCGAGCTCGCGGAAGGCCTGGCCAAAAGGGATTCCACGAGGATGACGAGGTGGAAAGTACCACAAGATGAGGGCCACTGCCACCAGCCCATTCCCGAAGGCGGTCGAGTAGAAGAGCCAGCGCCAGCCCGGGGATCCCGCAGCCAGCCCGTACCGAGCAACGATCGGACCCGCGATAACGTCGACGTAGACGAAGGCGTCGGCGATGACAACCCCGATATGGCGCCATTTGTTGGGTAACAATTCGGGAATGGCAAAGGCAGAGATCTGGCAATTCCCGCCCGCAAATCCACTGATGACCATACCTGTGATGGCTGCACCTGTGGTGTTCGCGGAGCCCACGACAACAGAGCCCACGACCATCAGGACGTTCCCGCCGATGAGGAACCATCGTCGCCCAAAGAGATCGCTGTTTGCACCACAGAGCATGAAGGAGATGCACGTTGCAATGTTGTACACGGATCCCAACCACGCCGATTGAGGCGGGTCATTCAAGATCACCGCCAGCTGCGCCTGGATCGTGCCCATGATGGGTACGGGCCAGAAGGAAATGCCATAAGACATGGAGAGCGCCTGGCTGACCATCAGTATAGATTTAGTTGAAGAGTTACCAGGATAATCGACACATACGAAAACGACCAACCAGGTCTTGAAGGTGACCTTGTCCGCGGTCTCATCTTCCCGATTAGAGACAAGATCAGAGGGTGGTGAAGACGGCGATTCGATGTGTTGCTGCTCCGCCTCAACCAAGGTAGTATCGTGGGCCTTTTCCTTCTCTGCTGTGCTCATGGTGGAATTGTCGCTGTTTTGCAGATAGGTTTGTGATTGTCACAAGGATGGCTTCTGTCAGAAATCTTGCAGAGAATTTCTTCAAGAGCCGTGAGCCGCGTAGCAAGCCATATCAATAAGTCTTCTCTCCCGCATATACCCCCAGGTATCAAAGCCGCTGGGTTCCCCCCACCCCCTTTGCGGAAATTCCCAGGTTTTTTTCTCCGCCAGCCGACCACTCGAATTCCGCGGACATGGTTATCATTGGTCAGGGCCAAAGCCGTTTCCTATTCCGCATTTCCGGGCTCGCTGTTCATTGGGCACTTCCCCATGGGGAACGGCATCTAACATCCCAAGGTTTGCGGGGGCATGTTGGAGCTGGGGACTTTCTCAATAAGAAATCAAGGAAAACCCAAACGCACCGAGAGTTCAACATCTTGGACGAGCGGTTTAGTCTTGTTGGAGAGATATTAGAGACTCGCGTGAAGAGAGGGCAAAGATTCACGTGAAACTGACAACTGACGAAAGTGGGTGGGAAATTATCTACTATCAATAAATAATATTACCAGAGCCACTTCCCATATCTCCCAAATAGGCTAGATTATTCAGGCTCCACTTACTGACCATTCAAAGTAACTACCAAATGAATAGAGTAGTAAGTGAGACTCATATCTCCATGCTTGCTCGCCATTCCCAGCGAATCATGGAGAATTCCAGATTTCCGGTTCTATAGGGCTGTGGCTTTCTCTTTTACTTCAAGATCAATATTCCATCCTCGATCTGATGGGGCGCGGGGCCTTTGGATAGATTGGACACTCAACCCTTCTTCACCCATGTAAAAAGGCAAGTACGCCCATTTTCTGGGACTTGTCAGTGTATCATTTTACAGATTGACTGGCAGAAGACCTGGTGAAGAAACGGTCGTAACATCCGCATATTCCCCCTTATGCCGTCCCTCAGCGCAATCGTGACCGGAGGCGCATCGGGCATCGGTGAAGCCGTCGCGACCAAACTCGCCAGCCGCGGGGTCAATGTCACCATCGCCGACCTCGACACCAAGGCTGGAGAAGCACTGGCGAAAAAGCTCGAGAGCGACTTTGGAGCCGCGGCCGTGTTCGTGCGCACCGACGTTTCCCAGGAAGACGATGTGAAAGCCATGGTGGAGGCCGCGGTCAAGAGGTTCGGCCGGCTGGATTTCGCGGCCAACTGCGCGGGGGTGTCGGAGACGGTGTGGCATGAAGAGCAGAGCATCACGACCCGGGACTTTGATCGGTGCGTTTGGGGTTAAACCCTCAATAATTTTTCTGTCTGAGAAGTTGGGAGAGTCACAGAGTACCACTCTGCTCTAGAAGATGCTAGCGGGATCCATGTCAAGAACAATCTCTGCGTGTCCTGGAAGTTGCTGACGCTGATTCCCCATCACTACAATTCAGGGTCTACTCGATTAACGCCAAGGGCGTCTGGCTGTGCCAGAAACACGAAGCGGCCCAGATGCAACGCCAATCGCCCCGTCCGATCAGCCTGTCGGGCCCATCGTCGTCGCGCGCCATCCCCGGACAGAGGGGCTCCATCGTCCACATCTCGTCCGTGTGCGGCCTCATCTCGCAGGGCCTCGGGGCGTACACGCCCGCGAAGCACGCCGTGCTGGGTATCACCAAGAACGGCGCCAAGTTTTACGGCAAGGACCAGATCCGCGTCAACGCCGTGTGCCCCGGGTGGGTGTACACGCCGCTGCTGGAGAAGGTCATGGGCCAGCAAGGCGTGGCGGGGACCGCGGAGACGGAGCAGAGCCCCGTCCTGGACCGCATCATGCTGGGCCGCATGTCGTTCCCCGAGGAGCAGGCCAGCGTCATCAGTTTCCTCTTGAGCGACGACAGTAGCTATATCAACGGGGCGCACATCGTGGTGGACGGGGGGTTTGTTGACATTCACCCGTGATGGATGGAAAATTGACACGGGTGAATATTATCATGCATAATATAGCGGGGAGTAATTCGCTCCCGTATAAATTATATATGTGGTACTAGCTCCCCGAGCCCCAAGCACAATAAACAGGCCACTTCTATTGATAGAGCTACTGCAGTTCGTTCACTTGCGCACCCTGGAGACCGAGTCCTTGTTCTGCCATTTCCGCTTGAGCGACAACAGGACCTCCAGCCCCCGATTCGCGCTGACAAACATCTGGCCCATGTCGGACAGTGCCTGGATGCAGATCAGCAGCAGCTTCTGCGCCTCCTGGCACTTTGAGCCCGAGAAGATGCAGCAGTTGTACGCGTGGATCAGGCCCGCGGTGACGAGGATGTGCGTCGTCTCGGCGTGGGCGTGGCGGAGCGTGAAGAGCTGCCGGAACAGGATGGTCAGTTTGCAAATCTGCGTCGCCGACGTGGTGCAGTTGAAGGCGTGCGACGACCGATGACCAACTGGCAGGGGCAGGGACTGGGACGGTCGTCGGGCGAAAGGAGCATTTCCTGGCAATGTGCCGCTGCTGACTTCGGTCGAGGTCGAGGACGATGACGGAGGCGACGCGCCCTCTGTATTAAAACTCCGCGACTCGCCGAGAAATGGTCGGTGGAGGAGAATGACGGCTTGATAATACAACATTCTATAAGAGACGGTGGTCGCGTCAGCAAATAAACCCCACACTTGAAATTGAGGAAAGAGGAAGCGGAATTTTACAAGAGCTGCAACACAGCCGCAGACGCATATTCGTCACTCGTAGACCCTGCAATCATGATCGAGCTGGTGTCAACTTGTAGGAGCTGTGGGAGGCATTGCTTCCACTCTACCAACTCCAGGGACATGGAGTCGACGAAAACACGAGCCTCTTCAGCGCAGATCCGTTTCCCGGTATATCTATCCGCGCGGTTTCGTTAGGAGAGCGCAGAAATCTTGGGGAGGAGAGGAGAGCAATAGGAGAATCTCCTCACAATGTATCTGTGATTTTGCCGATTTTCATGGTCAATTCGGCCATGTATCGAGGAACATAGGTAATGGCGGCATTCTGGTTTGCGGAGAAGGAACCCAACCCGGGGGTTTGATTCGGTTTGATCTCTGGAAGTGGCACGTTGCTTTCGAGCTTGTGCATCAAACTGGGTCGTCCAATGTAGGAGCTCCAAAGCCTGTGTCAAGCTCGTCAGGAAAAAAAAAACAAAAGGGAAAACCAGCCACGATAGAATCAGAGCGCGAGTCAGTTTCGATCTGTTGCACGTACGTGTCGACGGAATAGACGCTCCAGAAGATGGCGCGCCGGAGCTTCACGAGCTCGTCTTTGGCCTCGTCGTCCTCCGTCTCCACCTCGAGATTCAGATGTAGACCAAGATCGGTGACCATCTGAACTGCCTGGCCTGGGTCGGGGAGCTTTCAGTTCCTTTTCCAATCAGTCGCAAAGCCAATTTCTGATGCTTACCCGAGTACATCCACCCTGACTTGTGTATCAGCCGAAAGAGCTCTTACTGACAGGAGAGGGAGACACTGATACGTACCACGCGAATCTCGACCACTGGAAGCCTCGTATGATGAGATGACTAGGATGGCTTGGACGGTTGCCATGGCTGGGCAGTCCATCTCGATGTCGAGCAACACTTTGGTTCGACGGGCGAAGAACTGCGCTGGGTCGTCTTTGATGGTCGGAGGTGTCCACGTCGCATATGTGGTGGCAACGCAGTATCTGCAAGATATTATTTTGTTAGATTCCCCCTGCATAAGTTGAATAGCTGCAAAAACGGGGCTGGAAAGTGTGACCCATGGAAAGTGTGATATACATACATGGCGTTCTGAAGTGTTGGAGAAAAGAATGGCGTGTTGATGCCCGCCTCATAACGCTGCTTTTCCCGCAAGTATACTTCCTGGTCTACCTCATTCAACAACGGAGCGTGCCAGGTGAAGAAAACGTCGGTCAAGTGCTGCTCGTAGGCTGGATGGCATGCCCAAACGAGACCAGCTCGTACGAGGGCGTCCTGCCCGTTGGCTCGGACTGACTGAGTAAAGGGCTTGAAGAGCGACTGCAGTCCGTTCCGCAACAGATGCATGTTGCTAGTCGCACCGTAGTAGCGCATATTGCCGTCCTCGGCCATTTGAAGTCGGCCCATTCGAGTTGAGAGCTCCTGGGTCAGCTCAGAGTCTGGGTCCTCGCCCTCTTCAGAAGACACATCTTCCGGAGACGGGGCTACAATCATCGTGGACGGCGAGGACTCTTCGTCGGTCGATATACTCGGGGCGGGAAAGTCCATCTGGTCGGTCTCGAAGGAGTAGTCGTCTGCAGAGAAGTTCAAGTATGCCCAGTCCGGAGAGGGTTCGGACGGCCGGCTGACGGGAAAGCTGATCTGACCCAATTGAGCAGTGGTGTCGTTCGGAAGGCCATCTTCACCCCGGTTCTGCGGTAGATGCTGAGGTTGATGCTGATCGACTTCAGGATCCTGTAGTATTCCGGTCGTCGAGGGGAGAAAAGGCTGCAATGCGTCGGTCGAGGCAGAGTGACCGGAGACATCGTAGTTGATCATGAGAGCACGCTGCTCCGCGACAAGAGCCTCCAAGCCATTCAACCTGGACACCAAAAGGCCCAAATCCTTACGCTTTGTGGCACTTCTGTGGAAGCAAGTCAGGGGCTGCGCAAGGGAGCAAAACAAAAACCACAGACAGGAACAAAACCCACTTTCGACGGTCTGAGCCAAAGGCGCAAACATCACCGTGGTTGCGACAGTTTGAGCAAGTCGGGCGGACTTCGTCGCACTTTTGTACAAGTCAGTTTGGGAGAAGAATACCATGTGTACATATGCTTGTTTATGGTACTTTGATCTTCCGCTTCCTGCACCCCATACATGCCAACGAGGCATTCCTTCGATAGGACATGGATTGAGATCTTTCACTTCGAATCATGGTGTATGGTGTACTGCTTTAGTTGTCCAGTCTCGCTATAACGAAGGTTGGAAAGGAAGGCGAGGGTAGTTGCCCAACTGCTGTCCCTTGAACACCTCTGACTTCTCCGACTGACGCTTCGTTGTAAAGCTCGAGCGTGGCCTCACCCACCAAAACAACACAGAAAGATAACGAAAGCGT